ACACAATACCTTTATTTTATTTATTTATTTTTATGTGGTGCTGAGGATCGAACCCAGGGCCTTGCACATGCTAGGCAAGCGCTCTACCGCTGAGCCACAACCTAAGCCATGTCAGGGTTTTCTTAACAAGAGCATAATTGAACAAAACACAGTAGTGTCATTTTCTTAAAGAATCACATGATTTAAGAATATTATTTTTTAGATGACTAACTTCATCTATAGATGAAAACCTAAAATAACTAGAACTAGATGAACTTTAAAGTATTATTTATGAACATTGTTGATTTCTGAGACTTAAAAATATTTTTTCTTTAATTACAAAAATGATACTTATTGATATAAAACATTAAAAATCAAAACAAAGATGCTAACTACATACATATCTATGTATGTGTACATATAGAAATAGTGGCTGGGCAGGTGTCCCAGTGGTTGAGAGCCCCTGAGTTCAAGTCCTGGTACGCCCCCCCACCACCAAAAAAAAGGTAATGTGTGCAGTATTTATATATATAAATGCTATATATGCATGCTAAGTATATAAATACTACATAAACACCATAGATGTATGTAAATCTATATGTTATAAATACTATATATATGTTTACTACATGGTACTAATAAACTGTAAATACTTTGTAGGCGTTTTCCTATCCTTTAATTGCAGTCTTTGTTAACAGCTTGGTGTGCTTCTTTCCTGTCTTTTCATATAGATTTTTAAAATAATTAGATCATATGAAATATACCTTTTATGCTAGCTTCTAAATATAATATTAGCATTTTCCTGTAATATACACTCTTCATAAATTATTTTTGTCTGCAATGTATATGTCTTTAGGAAGCTTAAAATTCCTCTCTTGCCTTCCACAAAGCTGTACTCATTTGACTGTGCATTTGCAGGTTCATTTGGGTTGTTTTTGCTGGCTTCTCTTTGAAAAACATGATTAGTTTAAGGTTATCAGTCTACTTCTTATCACTCTTTTCCTCATTCATGTCATCCACACACCACAGCTTCAGCTATCACTTCAAACCACTCTAAGAACCTCAGCTCTAACTTAGACTTCTTAAGTCTCTGGTCCCTTAAATCCATTTGCCTGTTGAACATCTGCTATGGATGCCTTGAAAGCATATCTTCTGTCTTCATCACCATCTATGTCTATGTAGTTGCTTACACAAGAAATTTAACATCCTAGATTCTTCATCTTTTTAATTTTTTTTTAGTTGTAGAGGAGCACAATTCTTTTATCTTATTTATTTTTATGTGGTGCTGAGGATTGAACCCATTGCCTCACACATGCTAGGCAAATGCTCTACCACCGAGCTACAGCCCCAAGTTATATTCTGCTTCACACAATAAAACTTAAAAGTATTTAAGGCTCTGGAGTTGAAGTAGTGAACAAAACCAAGCCCTTGTTCTCACAGAACTAACCTTCTAATTGGGAGAGACACAAAGAGGATACATTTATTGACAAAGCTATGAAGAATGTAGAGCAGGGTTACTCAAAATGATAGAGTAGAAGAGATGCTTGGTTATTATAAGGTGGTCCGGGAAAGTCTTATAGGAGATATTTTCACAAGGACCTGAAGGAAGGAAGGAAGCAAGCCATGTATAGATTGGAGAAAAAGTCTAAATAAGGAACTCTTGTCTTACTGGAGCAGAACGAGCAAGAGGTAGAATGGTAGGAGATATCAGAGTAGAAATGGGGGTTAGATGTCTGGCCTCAAAAGCCAAGGTTTAAATACTCTGGATTTTATTTTGAGCAATCTAGGAAGCAGGGGGGTTTAAGAGTAATGCATAGCTGAATTAAAGGGGGAACAAAGCTTGGAGACCAGTTCAGAGATTTTGTAATATCATAAAAGATTAAGATGGTTTAGACTAAAATGGTGTTAGGAAGAGATGGTGGGAAGTGGTTATATTCTGGATTTATTTACATAACATAATTAGTTGATTTTCAGGTGAGAATATAAAAAAAAGATGAAGGGTGACTTCTAGATTTTTTTGTCCAAGTGTTTGTTTAGACAGGAAAAACAGTTGAGACTGTACTAGTACAGTAGCCACTTACTATGTTTAATTTCTCTGTCCTTCCATCTGTTCTTGCTTTATCTAGCTGCTGCTTTTATATATATATAAATTTTTAGTTGTAGATGGACACAATACCTTTATTTTATTTGTTTTATTTTTATGTGGTGCCAGGGATCAATCCCAGTGCCTCACACATGTTAGGCAAGCGCTCTACCACTAAGTCACAGCCCTGGCCCTTTAGTTAGCTTCTTAAAGCATACATGTGACAGTTAACTTTATTCAAGTCTCTTCCTTGCCTACCCACAGAAATTTGAAGGCAGTTCGTATTGTTTAGACTACGTTGCATATATTTTATGCTGTCATAGTATAAAGTAGCTCTAATTTTTAAATGGTAGTCTTTTTCATTTTTTAGTTATAAGATAGGTAAAGTTTAGAAAAAGAATTTTATAAGGATTTTGTGTCAGTAAGAAAAGGTAAGACAGTTAGTAGGGATTTATGACTAGGGATCAGAAAGGTGCTTTTGAAATGTAGTTACTATTCTAATCCTATTTTAAAACTCTAGTTAAAATATATGAGTGCATATAATTTTCCCCATATTTGTATATAGGGTATTGTAACTTCTGTTGATCAGATAAGCGATTAATCAAGTGATCTTGTGGATTTGTGTGTGTGTGTGTGTGTGTGTGTGTATTATAATATACTGGGATTACAATGGTGAACAAGTTAAAGATGTTCGTCCTTTTGAAATTAACAGCCCAGCAGGGAAGAAAGTGATCTAACATAGTAATGTTTCACAGGAAGAACACACATATTCTGCCAGAAATTTCTGCATGTTTAGAATTTGTTAAATAGCATTTTTCATCTTGTTAGGGCTAGAATATCTTCATTTTTTATTTTAAATGTCTTAAAAATCAAGAATCTAATGATCTAATTTTCCCCATGCCATATAGTTTATGATCAAGCTGGGATTCAAACTTAGAATTTCTGAAACCAGAGTTGTAACCACTATGTGTATAATTTTTAATGATTTTACTATGATGATAAATCAAAGAAAATACAAATATGAATAGAAATATATGTAACTTTATAGTTTGAGGGTTTTTTAAAATTAAGGTAAATTAGTCATGAACCTCTTCTAGTAATGCAACAGCTGATATTCTTGGCTTTTTAAGAAAAAGATCACATGCTTTCTTTTTTTAATCTTAAAATCATATGGGGGTGATTTTAAACTTAAAGTACATATGTACTGAATTAAAAAACAGACCAGGATAAGATTAGATGGTATTGCTAAGTGGCCTGAGTCAGGATTTTCACTACAGCAAAACACACACACACACACACACACACA